AAAAGAATCATACCTGTTACACATTTTGATACGTAAGTAATCGAAGAATTTTCAACGTAATTCCTTTTTGCGTTTTTCCGAACGACTATCAAGAACAATCTCTGATATATATTTCAAGAAGACCTACGACGGACATTCATATTTCTACTGGTTTGTGGTAACGTTTTTATAAAATGGTGATACAGAGAGCAATCTTGCAAGCAACATCTGATTTGCTCAAATAATCGTATCGAGGGATTGTCGTAGTTTAAAGACGTAGTACATTTTATTATACTACTCGTAATGCGTAGATATACACGTTTCTTCGAGCTACCATATTCGACTAATCCAGCTCGGCAATTTATCGATACGCGATGATCAAACGTTATTGTTTCTAGCTAACAGCATAGTTAAAAACCGTAGCCGTGCGTTGTGAAGTTTAAAAAGGTCGAGAAATTAGACCGTTTACTTAAAGTTCTTCGATAATTCGCACTGCGAGTAAAAGAAAAGCAATCTTTCACGCATTTATATTTCTAGTCGTTACTTTTTTTGTTCGTCTCGCGGGTCGACGTTTAGTTGCTAATACGCGGTATTAGTGAAACCGATAAGTAAACAAAATCAAAGGCGAAAGTCCGCGATTAATGCGAACAAGTTTCATTTTCTTAGGTTCTATGAAAATATCGATTTGAACGAGAGGCGATGTGACTCAGATTTACGAGATTGTAGGACGGCATTATTCGCTGTCAAAATTAATACACGCAATAAGAGATTTTTAGATCGACTAGCGAACAAACGGAATTACATAACGTTACACTTAACGATGTACTCAAACGATGAAACGATTTTGTGATAACAAAGAACTAATCTTCCACAGTGAGATTCGTGACTCTGTCCTCGCTCACCGTGAACGAAAACACGGTAAAGCGAGGAACGATCTGCGCCGCGTTGAGAATACTGCGTAGAGACGATTGTTGTTATCGAACGAAACGAGGAATCAACTTTATCTCGCATTTAAGTACACAATAATGAGAAATGTGATCAGACACGTCGTATTTGTGTCACTCGTACCGTGGTTACTTAGATTTTACGATCCACTGTAACGTGTTTCACGAAGAATAACAATACCGCATGAGCATCGGTCCGTTGCGACAAAAGGTTTTCTTCATCCCCCGACTAGGAAGCTTACGTGTTACGCGAATTGTAAGTACACCCACCGTGTATTCTATCGATTGTCAAACCGTAGGTATTTGTTTGTATTGCCTAACGATGCATTAAACCAAGGATCACCAAAGTTAATCTGTATCAATGGTTCTGTATCAATGGTTCTGTATCAATGACCTATGAACTACTCGAACTCGATGCCAACGGTATATTTCTATCACATTATCATGTTACACGAGAGAAAAATGTAAAATATAGATTTTAAAAAGCACTCGATCATGTCTGCATTTATTTATCCATCAACCTTATGTATAGTTCCCTCGACATCATTAAATACAATATTTCAAATGAATTTGTTGTTAGTTTAAAACATTTTCCGCGTAATAAAGTCCCTGCCGTCAGAAAGTAAGTATAGCCGTTAAAAAAAAATTAATAAAAAAAGGATTAAAGTCGTCTTTTGCAAAATTGCCCATAAGTTTGCGATCGTTTTGCAATTGGTTTCTGTATTCTCCCTTAATCTCCTCCCGATCACTTTTCCTAAAATTCTTCCCTCCTACGTTCTCCATCCTTCCTTCCCAAGGAATCAACACCTTCGGCCTCGAAGTGCAATTTTTTTAAACTCTTCGTTCCAACAACGAACTTGAAAGTGTAACGCATTCACGCTTGAACAATGGAATCTAAGGAACGAGTACAGGTAGTACAGGTATGAATCGACGATTAATTGAGTGCTTCGGCTTACCGAACAATCTTTAAGAAGTCAACATCGGACCTGATAACAGCGTGCGAAGTAAAGCCCTTGGCGCTCTTACAACGGTACCGGCTATTTGTAACATTCTGCTACTCCAACCCACCTCTTGGGATTGCCGTATCAAACGATCTTTCAATTCGTTCAGTTCCGATCTAACACGACGACGACACGATTAATTAATGAATCAATTGCGTTACGAATTACTAAATCTTAATCGATTTTTATAAAATCATCTGCGATCCGCGATCTGATCACGGAGACTAACAATTGTGAATTGAACGCTGCCTCAATGCGCTGCAGAGTCATGTTTCGGTCAATTAGTTGAGCTTCCAGGGAAACTGCCCGCAAGTTTAGAATTCTCCCAGTGTTCTCGGTAGATTTCAATCGTTCCATCAACTTGTTCTTCTCCTCCTCCTTGATTCTCAATTCCCTACATGCGTATTCGCGTTCAAGTGATATGCAAAATAATGAAAGCTACAGCCGGAAAATTTACTTTGAGTAGCGTTCTATCTGTTCCTGCGAGGATTCGACGAGGGCGATTTGATTAGCCAGCTTCAGCTGTAATTCCTCGACGATCGATTCCGCTTTGTCGGCTCTTGCTCCTCGTTCCGTGGCTAAAGCTTCGCTGGCCGTTACCTGAAGAACGCGTTTCCTCCTTTTTTTTTATACATATATCGCAATCGTACAATTCTCATTGTCCGTGTTTAGGTAGAAAATTAGGTATTTTAAAAAAGCGGTTGCACGTTTCATGTTCTCGATGCTTAGGAAAACGACGTTGTCGCGATTTTCGTTTCAACGAGTAAGAATTAATAGGTCAAGTGGTATCGATCCGTTTTCTAGGTACGCAAGGTGAGTCACCAATGAAGCGGAAAGTACATGATTCAACTACGAATTATATTGTTTCGTGCATTGACCTATCTAACAACTACATCTAACTTATTGCCGCCCTAGATTCGTAGATATTTGGAAACCCTCGATTGATAAACCCCATGATTGATAACGTCAATTGATCATGCAAATTTCAAACCACGTCCAATATGACGGCGGTCTTGATATCAAACAAAAGAGAAGAAATGTTCGTAAAAAAGATTTCGCCCGTTCCGCCGGAACTCGGAAGGATAGACAATGACTCAATCCTCCATAGAATAGAGTAGAAATCCGCATCGAACCGCGAGTTCACCCTGTTTGCGAACTCGTCTCCCACGAGGGCGAGTCATGAGTCACCGTGCGGAATCAATTTCTGCAGTGGTACGGAATGTAAGATCGCGTCAACCGCGTTACCGTTAAAACCCCGACTATGAAACCCGGAATTATAGACAAGTCTTAGAGAATCTAGCCTTTTCTAAGAGAATCCTCTTGTCTTCCCGCAATTTGAGCAACTTTTCTCTCTCCTTCGACATCTGCTCGTCGAGGCCGTGGAGCTGATTTTCCGCGGACAGAAGCTCGTTTCGCAGGTTCTCCGCGGCGACCAGCCTCTCCTCGGCAAGCTCGGTCAAACGCTTCATCTCCTCTTGCATTTTCTCCTTTTCCTGCGAACGTTAACCCAGTTCGTGAATGCCGGCTCGGTGCTAAGTTGAACTTGGTAAATCCCCGAACGTATCTATTTAGAGCCAGGGTTTATCTATGTCGGTGCGCAGCGGCGATACAGTTTCTTCTTTCGTTTCACAATTAGGACCCGGCTGGACCCGTGCCAGCTTCTCGTTCGCTTACACTAATTAATGACCACGCTGCGACGCAGATTGCCATCACTTTCAGCAAAACGCTGTTCAACTTGTTTACCCACGGATATTCCGGTACCATTAAATATTTTTCATAATCATCGTTAAATCGATAATTAAATCGATAATTAAATCGATAATTAAATCGATAACGAATTAAATTAATTAACATAAATGCGAGTCGTGTTAATGAAAGTTTTGCAAGATTCAGTGATGAACACAATAGTATTGAACTTGGAGTATTCTCGTTTCTCAACGCTCGTGGAACGCCGAAAATGTGTCTCGTTAACGATATTATTACATGCTCCAGAAACTCGTGTCGCGAGCTCTTATGCTAGCGTCATCCCCCTAGTTAGATACACGTCATTGAACTCTCTGCTGTGTGCTTGAATGTTCTGCTAATTGTTCCCTCCCTAATAGCCGTTTTTGGCACGCAACGATATTAAACGATATTAAACGATATTAAACGATATTAAATTGTGAGATTTTTATGATCGATATTTTATATTACCGATTAATATTACCGATTTAAGGGTGTTGTTCCCCTTGACCGCTTCGTCGAACTGTATCTTGGCACGATGAGCCTCCGCGGTCAGTTTACTGATACGGTTGTTCTCCGTGTCGAGCAGTCGTCGCAGCACGATGATCTGTAGATACAGGTGCTCGATCTGTTGATTCAGATCGTAGATCGTCCCGTGAAGATATTGCACCTCGTCCCGTCTGCGTCTCCAAGCATTCAGCATGAGTACACGGCAGATCACACTGGCCGCTTTGTCCGGGCGTTGGAAGAACCGGGAGGATTCTTCTGGCTCTGCGAACGCTGCGAACCCGTCTATCCACTTCTTGATACCAACGCTGACGCCCAGATCTTCCTTAACTTTTTCGTGTTCCTCGATCCCCCGTTCACCGGTCGAACTGCTGTCCGATCTAATTCAAAGACGCAAGCATCGAAAAAGATCCGCGTCTCTTTTTTGAATCTTTTACCTAACGTCACCGTTCTCGTTCTCCATCGCCAAGGGGGTCAGGTCAATCATGGACAGACTCTTTTTGCAGGGAGCACCGATCATGCGGAGTATCGGGCATGGCGAATTGTCTGGACAACTCGTGGCGGTGTTGATTGCGGGCGAGCGATTAATGGTCGTGTGGTAGAGGCCAGTCAACTTGAAGGACGTTCTCGGAGGACGGTACTGCCGCCGACCCGGTCTGTGACATTTTACGGCAAGTTGCGAGTACGTCAGGAATTTACGTTGGATGCATCGTGACAATTTTTTCTCGTTGAAGAATTGATTGGTATCTTCCCTGGAGCTAGTCGAGGCGCTCAGGGAAGACGAGCTTTTGGGAGTGATCGCAGTTTCTGGCATCGCTTTCGGCGTTCACGAGCAAACTCTTTAGGAAAATTTCGAACGTCGACGTTTGTTTACTTGCTCTTGTCATGGATACGGGACGATTAACAAGAAAACTGAAGCGTCGCTAGCAAAATGTTTTCGCTATAAGTATATCTTTGCCAATCTTTGCACGATCGCGTGCCGCTTCGTGGAATCAGTTATTACATAAATCATGAGGAATGGTCAGTATTTATGTAATACACATATCTGCTTCACGGTTTTGCTCTGCGTTGCGAAACGATTTTACGAGTTATCGTTATATCACGAGATTCGATTAATAATTTAAAGAGACATAAAGGGTGGCAATTGAAATGTGTAAAAAATAAAAGTAGCGAGGAACTGCGTGCAAATGAAATTCTGTCAAGACGACTTTAATAGATTAGATAGATTAGATAATTCTATAGTATTTTAATTTCTAAAAAGCAGCCAGCTCGATTCTTTTGCACGTGCAAATTACTAACGATACGTTAAACGAAATTTCAAGCGAACGATATATTTTCTATCCATTGTTTACCCACCCAAAAACACAGAGGAGATTAGCAAATACGCGCTCTCTGCTTTCTCTTTTCCAACTTACACTAAACGCGCTTGTCGTTCTTCTTGGTTCTTCTTGGTTCTTCTTGGTTCTTCTTATTCTGGTGGCATCCTCGATGACGCAGAAATAGTTTCATAGTATCGGTGAAATACTTGGGCTTTCAATTTTGCGCAACTCTAACGCGATCGTCATTCTCGCGACACTAATTAAAAATTAATAAAGGAAGCTAAAGAAGACTCAAAAATAAACAAGCAATGCAAAAAGCAAAACGCTACTATCAAAACTGTAATCGAAATTTGCGATCAGTACGCAACTCTAAGTAAAGCGCGACCTGGGATGATCGTGACTCTAATACAAGCCGTGATTTCGATTCGCAACGCTAAATGTAACCGCGATTGCCCAAGATTCTGGGGGGCAGCAGTGGCCATCCCGATTGTTTACAAGTATAAATTAAAACGAGCATAGTGACAAAGTAGTGATCGGATGACTCTGCATTTAGGAAATTATACAAACATAATTTCTGAATGCACAATCATTGATAGTTGCCCTCTTCCGAAGGTGCATATAGCACCGGGCCTCTTCGGCCGTAGCCTCTTCTTTCTTCGGGCGATGTTGCCCCAGTTGGAAGCACGCGTACACCGGATCCGAAGATCATAGGTCTGTGCAAGCGTGCTCCGTCTCGAACAGAACGCATTTCGTTTTGACCCCTACGAGAGGCCGACAACGACGAACAATTGCAATCGCAAGAGTTACATTCGATAAATCGACTGTGTGAAAACAATTTTTCACCGTCGATCGAGCGAATGCAAATTTTTTAAAACAGATTGGACACGGTAAAAAGGAAAAGACGTGAACGTGTCAACCTGCCAGGCCCTACCTACTTATATGCTAACAGGCGCACCAGATGTCAATTACCTGCCTGCCTGCCTGCCTGCCTGCCTGATCCTCATATATTTAAGAAAGGCAAAACAGACGAACCAACAGACTCATACGGCACGACGGTACGTACGGGCTTTTCATCCTCTCGGATGTAGGGGCCTGCGGCAGTCGTCCCGGGAACGACTCCACACCCGAGTTTAACGTACAAACAGATTCACACGCTCAAGTATGTACGTACCGTTCACCTGTAATCGGCTAGCAAGACGACGGCTAACTACAACGATTTATTATATTAACATTCCAAATTCGCTATTACAATACATATTACAACACTTAATTGTAAAGAACACCGACGCAACTCCGCAGCCTAATCCACACAAACACACAATGCAGAGATTACGTCGTGCACGATGAAGAAACTTGCCAGCCGGTGGATAATATTTATAAACTATATACAAAAGGATCATCGTGCCTATCACCTATCACCCACTCAAGTAGCACCTGAGCACGTGAATGGGATCCTGGCGAGTAAACACGGAAGACGCTGAACCTGAAAATCCTGATCTAAAAATGCATGATTAGTATTTGGAATCACAATGACTCTACTTTCGTTCCATTTAATCGACTTTAAAAGACTCTACGTGAAACATCAATAGAATTTCATTTAATTAAAAAAGAATGTAATATAAATATAAATTGCGATTGAAATATTCTATGGGAGATCTCTTCGTCAAAGCGACTATGGTCTATCTGAAATAGTTTTCATACTGGATGCTTTGACTTCGAAATCTATCCCAATCGTCTTCTTGTACATGGAATTTAATACATTTCTTTATAAGGACACTTAAAGACTTTACTATCGCCGGCATGTTACATCATTTCGTATCATTGTTACATATCGCGAAATCGGAGAAATAAAATCTAGTTATTGACACTTATCACCATTACCAGGATTAAAAGTTGAGAACGTGTCTTACCATTTACTCCATACTCTCAAATGAAAATTGGAAACACACACTTCACACGAAATCGGAGGTCGTCCAACTTCAAAATTAAACTCTACGTGGTCAAACAAAATCGTAATGACCATGCAATTACTAAGTACTCACTTAGTCATTGAAAAATACTTATATTTTTCAATAAAACGTTTGCTCTTGATATCGTTCTCATTAATATAAAATAAATAACAAGTACAAGAAGCCCTGACCTGAGCTAGTATATCATATGTCACAATATAAAATTGTCACTACTTCCGAGAATTTATAATAATATTACAAATCCTCAGGGTCACTATGCTCGTCAAACAAGTGTAAAATACAACCAGTCACTCGTACCGTATCGGACCTTTCGTCCCGGCATGATTGAGTGACCGGAGGAACTTAAAAGCATGCGACTCACCGTGATGTATCCATGTTCCTTCCACCAGCCAAAGGTCGAGGAATCAGCTATCAAAAGTTGTGGACTGTTGGGAACCAGCTGCCAATCAGTCATCAAAGGAAAGCAGTAACGATGAAAACTGTAACAAATAAGAATAAAAGAACATTATGATTTATTCTTACAAATTGTTTATTAAATTTCCAAGTCTCGCTCTAATCGAATTAAATATATTGTCAATGTTTACCATTTTTCAAGCCGAGGTCCATCGGATTGAGCCACGCGCCACCCGGCATCGACAACGTGCCACTCGGAATCTGTAACCTGTAACAAAATCAAAGCGAACACATATTTGAAACTACTGTAAATAAATAGAATCCGTAAATTAAATGAAAATCTAAGAACAAATCTCGAAAGAATCTAGAGATAACTCCCGAAAGTACGAACAATGTATAGCAGAAATGTCCAACAAGTAGTTGAACAAACGCGCATTTGATAGTCGGATTTAATAGCGAAAATCGTAATATGATACTTACGCGAAGTAATAACTGCATCGTAAGTAAATCGGTCACAATTATGTGCGTACAGAAGAGTTTGAAGATCAAAATTGAACGCCAATATGCCGAAATACGTAGAAAACACCTGACACTACGACGCACGAAGGAGAGGAAAAAGCAAATGGCCGACGCTCGGATGGGGGAGGTGTCACGTGATCGACGCGCGGTCACCTGACCGCGCGTAAATTCAAAATTACGCCGCTCTCGGATCTACAATTCTTTGTAGAAGAAAATTCATTATGGCATGAAAATCGAGAGTCGGAAGCGTGATCGAAATAATCTATATCCATGGCGATACCTTGGTCGTTAGGTAATTGAGAAATATCGAAATTCGTCAATTCTTGCTTGTAACTGAAACTTGAGTTTCACTATTCCCCAACGCACGGCGCTGGATCGAAATTCCTCAAATCTTAGAATACTGTGTGACGTGTCTACTCGCGTGAATCATCGGCAAGTCCGTCGACGCTTCTACGTCCCTGGATTTTAATCTACCTATACACGATAAATTCGATGAACCTTAAACGCACGCTTATTTTCGATCCAAGGTACTTAGCACGTTCGCGCCGATGATATAATCCGTTAAATGATTCGCTGACGACCGAATAAGATACTGTTGAAAGAGGAGTGAAAAAGAGGTTGTCCAAGATGGAACGAGGAATATCGAGAAAAAAATGTAATTTACTATTTCTACGTCATCGGCGGATAAATTTCTAGGAAGTAACTGAAACGTGTAACGCATTACACATGCTGATAGCCGTTCACTCGCTCGCCTCGACTACTTGCTGCGAGAGTAGATTCGTTCAAGTACGTACCACATACAAATGGTTCATTGGATCCCGGACTCACTTGGCACGTACACATAGAAAATGTGGCACGTACACGTAGGCCCAAGTAGCGGAGAGCAATAAAGGTAGAGAGAGAGAGAGAGAGAGAGAGAGAGAGAGAGAGAGAGAGAGAGATTCACATGTTCTATGTGTGAATGTAAAGTGTCTCCGAGATCCTAAAATCTATAATAGAGTTCGTAGCTCTACTCATTTATTACGTAGAAGCGTATTATATGTAGATTTTCGTAAAGGAATAATAGTTTGCTTCACTGAAACCAGTAATTTTTACGCTTATTAGATGGCCTGACCCATTTGTTGACACAATAATATACACTTTATCTTGCATGCAATTTTTATCGGCTTGCTATATCCCTTCCAGCACCTGTACTTGCGCGTATCCGCGAAGCAGAGCCGAGTCAGCCGAGGGCCGAGTGTTTCAGTCGTTAAAAGCGACGAGTATGCCTGGCGATGCCAGTATACCGATGCAAAGTCCGAGCGAAATGTTGTGCTGCCGCGTTTAAGTCTGGTTTCTAGTCACGGCCGTGCACGCTTTTAGTTGCATGCGAATTGTGTGCGCAGCAGTGGAGAGAACTCGGGTCGCAGATAAACATACGTATAAATTGCATCGTAATTCGTTGTTATTGAATAATTACGCATTTCGTTCGAAGGAACGGCCGAGAGTTCCGAGCGCGAATACAGGTTTTTCCTGATCGAGAGGAATACATAGAAGTAACGCGGAACAGCGGCCCCGTATTCGAAAGTGCGTTACTATGTTGATCGTGCTGCAGGCAAGTCTTTCTCGTCACATTGTCCTACGATAGTTTAATTATAGCTGCACCAGCCTGTACAGACCTAGGCTTTCCCAAAATAATGATTGGATCAGCGTGGCATTCCCTCCTTGCCCTCTACTCCCGTTTCCCTTCCCTTGGGACACTTGTGTGTTGCAGTGTCTCTTTGGAGCATACCTGCGAACAGCTGTCGTCTTTCGCTGGTCCAAGCGTTTAAACACAGAGCTCCTTATCCCACGATCATTTAATCCGCGTATGACTCCTCGCGCAGATGTTAATCGCTCGTTTTCTGCGTCAGTCATCTATATTGCGACATAAACACGCGTTTTCCGCTAAGATGTGCGACCCGCGCTTTTGAACAGTTCGATTTTCTCTCCTCGTCAAATAAATCGATATCAGATAAGCCGATCTTCCTCCGCCCACGCTACCGTCTCGACTTCTCCCAGGTATTTATCCTTGTCCAACTACACGCATCTTTCTATCATCCGTTTTAATGATACGCGCACGAAACTTTTTTCTCTGCGATGCTACCGAGGTTTCTAATTCTGATACGAAGCGTAGATCATGACACTCTGTTTTCCTCCTCTGATGAAGCAGACGCCTGTCAAACCGTTTTAAGAAAAACTCATATAGAAATAATTTTTTAGATGACCGTTAAACGTGTTAAACAATAAGAGGTATGGACCAGTTTAATGGTATGAGTGATGGACATATAAAATTAAGTGATGTCAGTAAGTATATGGAAAGTGCATGACATTCTTTCGTGATTCGCATGATCGCTTAAAAATCTAATGTTCTCTCTTTCTGTACCAGTTGAAGTTATCCAAACTACCGATCCTGGATTCGCAGGATGTAGTGAAAGGGAAGGACAACCGCCAGTCGAAATGAATACTGGACAGTTGTTGCCATACGCTGAAATAGTTGAACAACCAGCTAGCAAAGCGTTACGCTTTCGCTATGAATGCGAAGGCAGATCGGCTGGTAGCATACCCGGTGTAAACAGTACACCGGAAAGTAAAACGTTTCCTAGTATAAGAGTAAGTAATACAAAGAATAACGTTGATCGATCACCGATGCGTCGTAGTAACGAATAAAATGAAACGCAGATAGTAGGATACAAAGGCAGAGCTGTGGTGGTAGTCTCGTGTGTAACAAAGGATCAACCTTACAAGCCTCATCCTCACAATCTCGTTGGCAAAGAGGCATGTAACAAAGGTGTTTGTACAGTCGAAGTCTCGCCGGAAAATATGACTGTCATATTTGCAAATCTTGGTATTCAATGCGTTAAAAAGAAGGATATCGAAGAGGCGCTTAGAATAAGAGAGGAAATCCGTGTGGATCCCTTCAGAAGTATGTTGAAAAGTCTTGAGATTCGTCGTTTTGCGTTTCCCGTAAGAGACTTACGATATTTCTGCTTCATAGCTGGGTTCGATCACAAGAGACACCCCACCAGCATCGATCTGAACGCAGTGAGACTGTGTTTTCAAGTGTTCTTAGAAGGATCACAGAAGAAATTAAATGTACCTTTGCCACCAATTGTGTCTGACCCAATATACGATAAAAGTAAGCGTGATTTATAATGTTAGGAGGAGAGTAAAATATGATTTGTCAACTATTATTGGAATTTCTCAGAGGCGATGTCGGATCTTGTGATATGCAAGCTCAGTCATTGCAGTGCATCGGTCGCCGGTGGCATGGAAATGATTTTATTGTGCGAGAAAGTTGCGAAGGAAGATATACAAGTGAGGTTCATAGAGGAGAAAGATGGGCAAGTGGTTTGGGAAGGATTCGGCGATTTCCAACCCACTCATGTACATAAGCAAGTGCGTATAATCGATACTCGATACGATTCGAAAATTTCACCGTTCCATTGATTACTAATTTTTCTCTTCTCCGTCGACAGACCGCGATTGCGTTCAGGACGCCTACTTACCGCATACAGCAAGTTGAACAACCGGTACAAGTGTTCATTCAACTGAGAAGACCTTCGGACGGCGCGACGAGTGAACCTTTACCGTTTCAGATGTTACCGCTTGGCGCAGGTAGGCCTGCTTTCTGGTCATTACGGAAAGCATTTGCCAGGAAGAAAACAGATTACAGTACATTTAGTAAAATCTTAGCCACCGAGTCGGCGTTACTTTCAAATGCCGCACCGAAATTCCCGCGTAACATCGACGAGTATAATAACAATCACGATTTCGATTTTAAAAAGTCGAACAACAAAATCTCCGCGTTGCGCGCTTTGAACGATTTGTACAATGTGAAAAACATGTTAGACTCGTATAATGGAAGCCCGGGTACGAATCAGGGTGTCGCTCAAAACGTAGGACCCACAAAGAACACGATTATTGATTATCAAAATAATGAAGTATCGATCGATGCGCAAAGTTCTGCGAGCCAATTAAATAAAGCATACAAGACGGATAACAGTTGTACGGACAAAGAGACGAACGACACTAATTCGGGGACTTTGACTCGTACCAAATCCGATAGTACCGTTGAAAACACGTGCGTACTGAGAAATTCAGAAATGCTTAAAGATAAATCCGACTGGTTCGATTATTCGGAAGTAGGCAAATGGGTGCAAAAGGGTCAGATGAGTTTAAGAGAGAAAGAGAACGAGGCGGGAGATTTTAAAGCAGAGATGACGGACGAGTTGTTGACTCAAGTAGCCGAGTTGGATCAAATTTACGCCGATACTCATGCGAAATTGGTTCAGGCGGCTCTCGAGCAACACGCGACTGTTCAAGCGATGGACATCGACGTTTGCGACAATCAGACGTACACCAGTCTACAGATGGCTATGAAAAATCCGATCGAGTTCGTCGATCTACCAAATGAGAGGAAATACGAGGACGTGTGCGTACCGAAACGAGATACGAATCAATGCCCGTCGCCGGTGGTTACTACGAAGAGAGATGGAACGCAGGAAACGGAAGAGAGATTACCGCCGTTACCGCCAAAACGTATCCGCAAAATGCCTTCCATGCCTCTTCTACCGCGTCCCATATCCTCTCACGCGGCCGATTCGTTCGTCGAAGCACCGAATAAAAATTTGCCCTCTTTACCCGGTACGCTGACCAAGACCTCGAAGCAAGGTCTGTTCTCGAAATTGTTTGCAAAGAAAGCAAAGAAGGACAAAGACACGATATCGAACGCGTCCAAAGAAACGACTCAGTCTTTGAGTACCACGGGAAATATTTCGTACTTGTCGACCAACAGTACTCCGGATAGTTCGCAGTTGCTCACGCCGAGATCCAGCGCGATAAGTACCACCAGCGTGAAATCGCTTAGATTAGACGGTGATGAGACACCGCCGTACGGAATGGAATTAACGGAGGCCGAACATTACGCGTTGTACACTGCTATGGCGCCGCACGCTACGGCATCGGAATTCGATGAAATGTCGTTTTATTATAGTCCCGTGGAGGGTGGGAAAATCTACGATCGGAAGGAAACTTAATTTTGCTTCAGCGTTTCTAGTGGTCTTTCTAGTCTACTTCCATTTGAGAGTGATATTTTCCCCCGGAATGCTACTTAGAAGACGTTCCACGGAACGTAACGCGTCCACGAGATGCATTTTGTATTTTTGAAACTTTTTACGAAACCCTTACGACAGACTGACACGGGTCGAACTCGATTCTAGTCGGGGTACAAGTTGTTGTCCTTGTTCCACAGTCTTTCATACGAGCCCAGGCTGAAACTTGTTGCCTATTGTCGGAAGAGGTAGTGTTCCTTCTAGTCAAATTTTACGGTGTTGCTAATTTACATATAATTCTAGCGCTTTTTACTATTTATGACAGGTTGTTAAGTTTTCTTTTTTTTTTATTGTGTCTCGAGTTTATCAAGCGTCGCTTTGTTTCTAGTCAGTAGAACAATTAAGAGTACGAACCTGTGACTCGCCGATAACTCACAGCGGTTTTCAACCAAAGATTTAACGGTTCTCGCAGATGTTATGTTCCTTTACTCCTAGGATCATTCGTCGCGATACTTTACGTGACGATGTTTGTGAATTATTTAGTTAATGTACAATCATTTATAGATGATCCTGATTCGTTAAGGCGAAAGAGGCAAAAGTTTAATAACAGTCCAAACGCGCTAATTTTGAGACATGTACAGGCAGAAGCTGAGAAGCGTGAGTATCTTTGTCAAATTCTATCTACAATTCAGCAGCTTTGCCGGGGAATGGGTTCGAGCGATGCCGCTCGCCGATATTTGTCACGTTCGTTCAAACTTTTCAAATCACATCGTGCTATACATTCTTTTCTAGAAAATCGCTGGTCCTATCTCTTTGTAACTAATTTTCACGTATTTCCGGCCGGACGACGAAATGCGATACTCGCAATTTCTTTTTATCTAACATCCACTATTTTAACAGAGACTGGATATACGCGAGCACGTTTCGTCGTTTGACCGTGGATCTTCTTCATGTGTGCAAGGAACGAACGAATTATTATTATTATTATTATTATTATTATTATTAAACTGTCTCGATCGATGCCAGCGATTGATACTTTTTGTGCATTTTTGCCGGGCCGACTGGCCCTCTTTGTTGTAACATTATTGTTGTAACGAATTATAGAAATGTTGTTGGGCGGTTCCACAATGTTTGGAATAACATTGTACATCTGGAGAACGTTTTACGAATCGCGAGTGCACATATTTTTTGTCGGGATGTCAATATTTCCAGCGCTATTGAATCACGTCACGTTACTAACTATACGATTGAACCTAATCCCTTTGCACAATGGAAACGTTACAGCCTTCGCATTTCGTCCGACAGTGCCTAAAAATGAAAATTAATTTCCACTGTGCAAAGAAAGAAAGTCATCATTGTATCAACAGGTACTCATACATACATATATATATATTTTCACGCACCGACGAAGAGAATCTTGTTTTATACTTTTTTAAGAACGTATTTTGTATAAATGTCTGGAAAACATTTGTAACTGAATGATTGGAGAGCAGTGGCCTTGTACATTTAGGAAGTTGTATTTTTCTAATTATTACCAAAGATTACACGGATGGATCTGCTATTTTTATATCCATCACGACGATAAAGAAAGAGACGTTGTCAGTGATCATGAAAATCGAGCGATATACAAGTACTCTGCTCTCGTATAATGATATTGTACTTAGATACTCAAACGATACGGTGGTAAGAAACTTATGTGCAATATTTGTAATGGCAATACAAATTTTTATAAACCGCTTCTTTGAAAAACAGAAAGCTATATATCTATACATTGTATGATACGTATACAGAATATATCGATCTATATATACATGTACAATTATTTGATGAAAATTTCGTGTTTTTATTCAGTTCCCAATCAATTTCAGAGTTAGAAAACAAATACGTCGCAGGTACGATGTAGTGTTAGTTTAGCTTCGCTGGCTAATCACATTTCACTGTGTTTTTTTTATTGCAGTACAAGACACTCGACTCTTTCGAGTAGCGTTTGGAGTGAAAATATATAAAATTGCATGTGCCTGATTTACTACTAATCTTTTATTTCTTTACGCTTTGCTTTCTCATACATTCATTTGGTTTGTTCGTTGATCCATTGCACGTGTTTCACTGGCGTTAATTCAAACTATTCTGCACGAGAGATTACGGGTTGTACGGTAGTTACAGTAATTAACAGAAATGTTAGCTCACGATCGAGATCTATTTGTCCCGTTGTATTTGTAGACGCTGCGGTGTTGAATCAACCATTCGAATACAATTTTAACATTGTCAAGCCAGAGCCCATTGACACGATGTCTCCATACGGAGGCAACATCGCGAGCGGAGGAGCTTTCCCGTCCTACCCGATGGGAACCAACTTTCCTCAACCACCATCTACTATGCAGACTCTGAGGTAATGCAATTTCAATGAACCAGTCAACTATTTTTAAGGAGGACTCGTCGAATGAAATACGATTATTGTATAAAATAAACTGAGCTAAGCAATGGTGCAGGTCGCAACTATCGCCAAGACGCACGCCGTCGCCGTTGGAGTACAGCCCGTACAATCCAGGACTCATTCAACCGCAACTATCACCGCAGTATCAACCACCGGGTAGTCACATCGTTCAACAGTCGTCGATGCAACAACAATTTCCGTATATACAGAACACGTTGCAAATGCAGCAACAAGAACAAATACTCTTGAACAGTGTGACACCGCCGTATCACAATGATTTTCCGCTGAATAACGGTAACTGTTGTCTGCTAGTAACGCACTATTAAAAATCCTAATACATACGCGTCTAACGTGATAGTTTAATTTGTTGATAGTAGACGGAACGGATGTCACAAGCGTTTTAGACATGGACAGTCAACAGTACAGTTTTGACTTGAATCAGCTCGATTCAGCGGAGCTGGCCGCATTCGGTACAGCTCTTTCTGAGAATCTATCCACTGGACTATCCATTTCGGAGTCAACGAAGGTATGTACATCGCTGTAAGTTGTTGTTCCTGATATTACACACAAGTAAAACGAACGATGATTAAAATCTAGCCGGAAACGAACAAAGGAGCGAACGCAGAACCGAGTAACATGACCGACAGTTTTACCAGAATCACCAACAACACTATACAAGAGCTGTGCAATTTGAATGACATGTATAAATCGACGCGAAAAGTTGACGACTGAGGAGTCGTGCATTTTATTGACCTTAACATTGTAAAGAAAGTTGTGTATAAAATGCTGTTCTGTGAACAATCTCTTTGAATTAATATACCATGTGATTAATATTTAATTAGGAAGCCGTTACCGCGGATCGCAGTACATTACTGCGCTATCATTACTAGGATAGTATCAATTTCCACGCGATGTTCATATTTTGATATACGATTTTTAGGATCCCCGTTATCAGTATGACGAATTAAAGGAGATGATATTTAACGATTTAAGTGATATACAAAATGCTGTGACTGTGATCAAAGTGTATCGGAATCTGCGCGCCTCAGCGCGCCTCAGCGCGCGTGTCAAGTGTCTCGAGATAATTATTATTATTATTATTATTATTTCTCTTAATATTGTATAAAATAAAATTCGCAACGGAGAAAATATAGTGTACATATATTGTAAAAGACAATCCGCATGCAACGCTCGCGTACAAATCGCTTAGCTAAAATAAACGCTCGTAAACGTTATATCTCTCTTGCGCATCCGACTCGTAAATTTATACAAACGTTTGATATTTCACTTCACTTATACACATTTCTCACGCGCTACAAATATGTTTGTAAATATATAGTGGTTCCGTTTGCAGTAACAGCTCGAGCGAGATGCTCTCTGTACCCGATATATGTATGTATATTTAAAAAAGTGTTTTCAATACACGTTCCGTCCAAACACGTTGATTCATACTTAATTACTTTGAACATTATATTATACGTACTATTACGATCACGCGCCGTATGTTTATGTACAGACTAAAGATCTCGCGTTTCCGCTATCAGTTACCAATATATTATTATACCAGTACAGAAATTGTCTTATAAACGAACAATACGAATAATATTGTATGCTTAGGTACATCTGTTTACTACATTATACACAATTACAACTAAGAATACATTATGATTTTACATACAATTATATACGTGTAAATAAAGATAGAGATTATTGTAAGTTTCAGCTGCGTTTAATTCAGTGTATCACATATCATCGTTACGTACATGTTTTGTATTTGTAAATTACTGTTCAATATTTACAACATCGTTGCTACAGATATATTTCTTAATTAATATGTGTATGTACAAGATAGGTAGAAAAGTGTCGTTACGTCTAAATTATCGTCTAAATCAATAAATAGGGAGAAGAGCGCGTTCCTTCACAAACATCTGTGAAGAATAAAAAAACATCTGTGGTTGTTTTCCAAAATGTATTTACTTAAAAATACAATGAAAGTTCAATTCTGATGGAATGGGCAGAAATATAGTCTGTGGCATCAGTTATTGTTATTCGTTTTCTTTCTTTTCTTTAAACGTCGAAAGTGATGATGCGATGGTATCCTGTACAAAAGTAGTTTGAACAAGATTTATGAACACAAACCAAATTCTTAGCCTAAGGTTTCTTTTTTTTCTTTTTTTCTTCGTTTACGTTTAAATCGTGACACGTTTCAATTACCAGACTCGTTAGGATTCTTAAATTCCTTTTTTATTTATCTTCTTTTCAGTGCTTACCTAACAAACGTAGGGATGTAACGGTATCTGGGCGATCAGCCTGATTGTTTTAAGACCCGTTAGCACCAGTGAATAATAGTCGGAGTCGCGTCGAGTACCGGGAGCAGAGAAGAGTACCGCGATCCCTGGGCTCGTGACAGTACAGGACGCAAGTCCAATCCGTGAATCTTATTATTTGGACACGCTGCAAACGGGGCTCGATATTTTGTATATCAATAAAATTAAACGGACCTATGCTTATAGTGTATAGTATTGTATACTATGAACGCTAAAGTACTCATTTTTTTGCTCAGGCACCTGTACTTAAAGATAGTTCTTTGTCAACGTGATCGTCAAAATACTATCTTGAAGTGAACACGTGTAAATACAGCAGCACAGATTGTGTATAAAACCGTAGAGTAACAGAGTTTCACTTTTTTTTCTTTCTTCTTCAGAGATGGCATGGCCTGCGAACGATCCAATAAATCGTATCCATTCATCGTTCCACGATAATCTGACTGGAATTTTGTCTTCTACTACGTTTCATAGCTCAACACCGAACAGATCAGGCTTTAATTCTTGACGTATAATCGCGCACGCAGTCCACTCCGTCTCCTTGAATTCGGTGCAACAGGATTCAGTCGACAAACAGCAGTTTCCTTTATCTTTTCTTCTTGAAATACTGCCATTACTGTAATTTGTCTCCGGATGGTCAAACCCATTACTACTTACGAGAACGAATCAGTTTCTCTGGTCTAACTGCGTTTTATTTAACTATCTCATTCGAAAATATTTGTACATTAAAACGTGGGACATCGTCTCGCATTCAAATTATCGTTACCTTTATTTATTATGCAGCTATGGTACAATGGTATCTTAACCGCAATGTCTCTTCACCCTTTCTTGTCTTGTCTACCAGTCTCCCGAAACAAGCGACGACTATGGACTATTCACGTAACAAGGATCCACCGACTCTGGCACAAGAGCACAAGTATCATTCATCCATTTGGTAATAATCAGAAATCAGGTAAACGTAATCGTAATTCGTCAAGACTGTAACATAATGAATATGTTATGGGTACGTTATGAGTAAGGTTAAATCGAGCGCACGGGAATACATGGTACACACAACGGAAGAACGTTACTGCCCCTCGCTCTGCGACAGTCGGCGAATCATTGCTCGAGCGGTTCGTGACAATGAGGAGAAAAGTAAAACCATAGTACGTAAGATAGAAATGAATCATGGTCGAACGAGTGCGATCGAATAGGGAGAGTTGTACCCGTTAGCTTCGCTGCAATGACTATCGGTAACTTTTTGCAAATCGCACCGTTTCCCCTTCGACGATATCCTTTTGAAATGCGCTACGTGGCTACAGTTTTAAAGTCGTTTTAAATAAAACTAAAAAACTAAGAACTCGAACACTGAACAAATGGAATAGTAGTTTGAAAGAAATAAAAATGTTGCTCTGCAAAATAAATTGCGTTTCGTAAAATAAAAAATACTCTCCCTACTCTGTATACTCCAACCCTAAATTGTAACAACCTCTCCACGTTACATTACGTTTACATAATATTATCGTTAATAATAAAATGTTTCTTACTCCATAAACTTTATACATGCTATGTATAATTATTATGCAATGTTAAAGTCACACATTACTCATCCACACTGCCTGGCGCGAGCGTTGTATCAACCTTAATTCCGGTTCCCGGATCGATCAGGAGCGCGGAGCGAGACTTTTTATCTCAATTTTATTTTATACGTCGAATGCCGAGAGATGCCCTTTATATATTTATTTATTTATTTGCTATTTTTGTTCTTTTACGCCACTTGAATCATTTTATTCATCGTATATATCGTCGAACCGCCCCCGCTCCTGCAACGTCATTGCAAATACACGGTTGAATGTCGAAAAGGAAAATCAATCACGCGCACAAGGTGAGAGACATTCTGCCGAACTACAAACGCAAATTTGTTTTCAAATGTAAAAAAATCATCACCCGCAAATGTTCATTTTACACTATTTAAATACAATAGAGCTTTTTATATCTTAAATAAGTTTCCATTACAAAACTGTCCCGCGAAGAAAGCCAGATGACGGCAAATACCAGTTAGTAGGCAGTTTGGATGAGACGATAAATTCGCCTTGGGAGTCCGTGCCGTACCTGCGGCGTCCGTGTTAACGCGAACGTACGACTGCGCACGAAAGACTTAGATATTAAAGGGAATCGACGCGTACGGGGGGATTATTTCACGACTCCGCGCGACGAATCCACGGTTCTCATTCAAACTACCTAATTTAGCATTTGGTGATGGCTAGACTACCAGAATTGCGAAGAGCCAAGACAGTAGGATCGGGACTGCGTCTCTCTAATTTGTGTCAGCCCGCCACAACTCCGGTGAGGTGGTAATTTTTATCTCGTAGGTCGGGAGGCTCTGGGCACGATGGGTATTTCAACATTGCTACCAACCACTCAATATGAGAGTAAGTGTTTGCTGAGAAGACTGCCGAAGAAGATCGACGACGGTGCCGTATGCCTACCTCCCTTCTTACTTACATACACCTTCACCTTTTTTCATTATGCGTCTTCCTCCTCATCTTCTACTTCTTCTACTTCACCCTCGCCCTCGTCCTCCTCTTCATCTGCAAAGAAACAGGTTCAGCTACACACCATACTCTTTTTTTTTTTTGTTTTTTTTTTCGTTTTTTTTTTCTACCTAACGCCAACGTTATCGTATCGATTCCCGTGCAGAGCGCGAATCTACGCGCATGTAATTGATAAGGCAATACGATCGAGAGAACTTTTATTAGCCGGAGCCTCGAAGCTCACCTTCACCTTCTTCCAAATCTTCTTCGCCTTCTGGTATGTCGTCATCTTCATCATCTTCTTCGCCGTCACCATCGACTTCTTCCTCCTCTTCGACCTCCTCTTCTATCTCCTCTTCTTCAACTTCTCCGTCACCGTTCTCTTCCTTTTTCTGTTTTTTTGTTTCGTCGTTCTTTTCCTGGAACACAAAGGTAACTCGAGTTCTAATGATCGATCGTCTTCCCGGACCTTAGACGTTCGTCGTCGACGCTTATAATTACTAAATAAAAACGACTAATAGGTTTGTTGCAACTGCATCGTCGCGTACTCGAAAGTCGAGCATTATTGAAAGAAGTGGGAGGCTTACAGGGATAGGAGAAACCCTGACAACGACCGACAGATAAAGAAGTGGGGGAAACGGATGAAGAGGATTCCCTTCCCGCCAAGAAACGTAAGGACACGGGAAAGAAAAGTGGAGGGGACTTTCCGTTAAAATATGGCGAAATAGGAAGACGCGAGGGCCGATGTTGTTCGACGAAAACTCTCATCAGCATATGAAAATTTTCTTTTACGAATTTTCTTGGTACAAGCGTAATTAGAACGTACAAGCATCGGGAACTATCGGTACGTATCGAAGCTTGATAACGCGCGTAGTTAAAGAACTTGCGATAAAAATAACGGAGTATTTGTTAACTGAAAAAAGAAGAGTGATAAAAGGATTACACACGCCCCGAGTATGTTTGTTTATTTAATAGTCTTTCCGAGGCGAAAATTTCTTAGTCTTCTAAACGTAAAGATCTTATCGTAGTTCCTCGAAAGTCGGGAGAGGTAGTAAGTAATCTAGGAGATCGGTATCAAATCTCAGCTCCAACAAACAAAACTGACGATAGTATTCCGTAAAGTGTACGGTTCACACGATCCTTCGAAGTACCGGCATATACCTTAACTCGTGTTCATGCAGCGTTACTCGTGACCACGGTGGGTCGTCGTAATGGCATACACGCGCCGTGTCTATCGCCGGCGCAAGGAAAGAGGGCATAGGAAACTCGCAGAACTGCATCATCCAATCAAAGGGACGAATCGACTAAAACCGGCTGGCAGGGGAACCGTAGGGATAGGCAGCAGCAGCAGCAGCAGACTACGATACATGTTTGTAGAAGGGATGCGTTCGTGTGCCGCGTAAAGCACACGGAAGGGGTGAAGAGGGGAAGAAGAGCGAAGCACGGAACAGCGTGTCCGTGCGTAAAATCGGCAGCAAACTTTGAATCGAATGAAAAATACGTACATGATCTATCTACAGTATTGCAAACGGAGGAAAGGAGCTTATTAGACGCTGGGTAAATAAATTTGAGTAGAGGGACCGATTTGTAATATCATCGGGGGAGAGAGCCCGAACTGTCTCAAGGTAAACGGTCTCGTATTATCAAGTCCTTTTATCAAACGGAACGGTAATATCTCATTTCATAAACTTGAATATTAAGCGTAATAATATCGATATCAACGGACTGTTAATCGATGTAATAAAAAGACCGGTGATATTTTCGTAACATTCGTATCGAGCGATTCGAATATATTAATGGCTGTGTACTAAATCGTATGCGTAGTTTGTATCGTGGAACGATGAGGAAAAAAGGAAGCTCGTATCTAATTCATAAAGGCCATTGTCTCGGTCGCGTTCAGTGTTATGACATGTCTGTGAAACTTGATGCGCTTTCTTCGAACCAGAATCTGTTAGTAGCCGACTACCGTTGTATGTTCATGGAGTTGCCGGGTAGTTTACAACGAGCGTGACGCGAACAGACGCCAGTGGACACGAAATGACGATATTGCTTATTATCCCCCAGACACGATTACCTATCAACTTATTACTAATCACGAGGTCTTTACAGATAACCCAACGTTCATAACCCATCGTATTCCGTTTCTCTCGCCTGTTCGGGCAATCCGTGAACGATCGTTATATAATTCTTCTGTAATACGCATACATATTACTTCGACCGTCTTCTGGCCGAAGTCACCTCCAGTTACCAATAATAAGAAATATAGAAGCGGAACGAAATCAGTTTAAAATATGTTCGATCAAATGAAATTATACCATGGCTCGTTCGACGAGATAACGAGCACGCAATTATCGCATGCTTTGCTATTACAGTCCTATTACATCCAATGTTTAATCTGAACGTATTTAAGATAATATGTAGAAATCAATAAAGTATCGAAAGGGGGATAGGATCAATCTTTTGTTCCGTCGTATTGCGAACGCTGCTTGGAACTCCCGCCTTTTTCCTCGCTTCCATGTTCTCCTCGAGCCACGCGAGTCTGCGTCGCAGTCTACGAATACTAAACTGACGTTCAGCAGCCAAATAAGCGTGATCGAACTAGATTCTGAATGTAAATGAATTTCATTTACGAGAAGCCTAGGCAGTCAACGGGCTCAGAGTCTGAGCGCGACATGATGTAAACAAATAACGTGAGTTCACGGGTCCCGAATTCTATTCCGTAGCATGACAGAGAGCTCGATGAATCGAGGATATTTCAATAATATATCGTAGAATCAGTTACGGTCGTGGTTTCCACGTGACATACTATTGCCGCTGCGCGAAGACGCCGCCACCGCCGCCGCCGCCGCTGCCACGGCCTTCTGTGATGATATAGACCGATCGTGTGAGTGAGTGAGTGAGTGAGTGAGTGAGTGAGTGAGTGAGTGAGTGAGTGAGTGAGTGAGTGAGTGAGTGAGTGAGTGAGTGAGTGAGTGAGAGAGAGAGAGAGAGAGAGAGAGGACAGAACGAGCATTGCCGGCATTTTCACGCACGGATTTCATTTCACTTTGCGAGACTCCCATGAAGCCGGCGATCGTCGTCGAAACGATTATTATAGACTAAAAATAAGCGGCTCCTATCGTGGCCGGCCGAATGACGGTTCCGATTTAAGATGAAAAATCGCCGCGATGTTTTCTCGAAGGTTCGTAACATTGCGCGGCATACTACGAATGAACAGGGAGGCAGGAGAGACACGAGTATATAATACATGGCGTTGCTGCTGCTGCTGCTGGCTGCGCGCGTGGGGTTTTCGATGAAAAGAGAGAACCGAACGCCGGCACAATCGCGGGCAAAAGGGGAGAAAACGCAGATAGACAAGGACAGAGGGAACAAGCGGGAGAGGGACACTGGGAGAGAGGGAGGGAGAGGGAGAGAGAAAAGTAAAGCGAGAAAGGAAGCCTTCGGCGCGGTGTTTATGCACGCAGATCGGTAAACAATTTCAGAGCAACACGTCGACCTGAAAGAGATATGTGTGAGTCTATCGATCGTCCGTCAGACACGATTAACCCTCTTATAACGAATTATCGATCAATTACGACACAAAGAGAGAGAAAGAGCGTGAACGCGAGAGCGAGACAGGGAAGAAGTAGGAGGCAGATGATGGGACGAGCGAGTGAGAGGGCACAATGAACGCGGGCTTGGTTTCGGGCGCCATAATGGAAACCCACGACGGTGGTGGTGGTGGTGGTGGTGTTGGTGGTGGCGGCAGCAACGACGGTCGGAAAAATGCGCGGGATGCTCGCTTTTCCTACACCTATATTACTGATGTTCTAGATAAAAAAATGGCGTCCATCTTGTCGAAGGAATGCCGAGTAACGCGTACGGCGATCGTAAGAAAACGAGCAGGAAACAGTGTGTACGCGTGTACAAGGGGAACGCTCCGGGAATGCACAACAGGAAAATGTAACGAAATGAGCACATGGCGCTAGTAGCCGATATCCCGCCCGAATTTCTCCAACGGTTCAGCGAAACATGAGTAGAAGAATGTTAAATCCGATATTAGCTGGTAACATGAAATCCAGATCGGTAATTATAGACGGCATTGTAACAACAGGGGTGATCAACCGAACCATCGTGCTCGTGGCAGCCACGCGAAATGCGATGGCGTCCCTCGGCTGTGAAACGGGAAAACATCACGGATGCGTATACAATCGTTTTCGCGTACGTCCAGGCGTAGATACATAAACGAACGCGGTTTCTCAACATTGCGAAAATATGGAGGCTGACGAAAATGCCGGCCGGCATCCTATCTCCTCTTCCATGCCGTCGGTCGGTTGAAACGGCCACTCGACTGCCCGCCCACCCGTTCGTTCACAAGAATACAACCGTGTAGTCGCGTACGGAATACAACCTCGTACCTCTACTCCCCGAATACAAAACATGAATGTCCGCCTGCGTGGACGTTCCGTACGCGGGAAAACTGTGACGAGAGAACGTTCACGAATCCCGAACGGCTCGCATGAAATTGGAATATACGACGATGCCCGTGAGCAAGCAGCGTGGCGCGGAAGCATGGTTGTAAAGCCGGCGTCTA